GGCGGCGAGTACCCCCGCGCCGGGGCGCCGGGCGAGGACCAGGGGCCGCCCGGGCTCGGTGCCCCCCAGGTCCACGCCGGGGACGGCCCCTTGCCCGAGTGCGAGGCCGAGGAGGTGGAGATCCGGGAGAGGTACGGCGCGATCCCTCTCCTTAACGCACGCGTCTAACGGCGATGAGCGCGCTCTCGTCTGTGCCTCGCGCAGCGGGTTGCTTCAGCGCTCGCTGAGGAGCCGCAAACCCAAATTGCTGCTTGCCCGCAGCAGTTCCCTTGGCAGCGACTGAGCGCGCAAAGCCCTGCTTTTATAAACTGTGATTTGCACTTTGCCCGAGCAGGTCTTATCAGGAGAGCATATTTTAACTGTTCCTCAGGAAGCTTTTATGAAAACACTGTGCTTGGCCAGCTGGGATTCCAGCGCGTGCATCTGATACTTTCCCAAATCTGCTGTCTGTCTGCGCGTATTAAAAATGTAACCGTATATGGCAGTCTGTGGTAACCAGAGAAGGCTTTTTGGCAAAACGATTCTTTGTGAGCGATGGGAACGTGGCAGAGGCGATGCTTCCCAACAACTGACCCCAGCAGCGCTAAACGATCCACTTACACCGAGACCCGGGTTGATTCTTGCCGGTCGCGGTTGTCCCTGATAACAAGCGGCGCTCCTTTAGAAGCAGACAATGCCTTATTAGCGACATAGTCTGTAGAAGTTTGGGTGAAGAAGCGAAGTCTTGAACCGTGCCCACGAGGTCAACAGCTTGCTCGCAACGCATCTTGCATTTTCCCCTTCGGCATTGTCTTGGCCTTAGCTGACCACCCTTGGTGAGACGATGGAGGGTAGCAGCATGGAGGTAGTCCAGCCCTGAGACCGCATGCAGTAAAGCTGCCATCACACTCGTTCGGTGTTTCATGGCTAGGTTACTTTTCAAATTACTGGGTAATGAGCTACCTAAGATAGCATTTGACGGGCAAGGAATATGTTTTTGGCACATGGAAAGCATCGGCCTGGAGTGTTTTTACTGATTCTTGATTAGTGAATGGACAAAAGAAAGTAAAAGTATAGACCACAGTGAAGTATCTAGTATTTTATAGCTAGAGAGGTGGCTAAATGTTTAAAAGTGTGCAAGCTTGGAAAATTATGCAGGTAGAATAATAATAGTAAAAGAGTAAAGAAAACACTAGTATGTCAGGTTTCACTGGAGATGCAGCTTAGCAACAAAACATACGTAGTTATCGACTGCTAAGTAACAGCGATGCAGAAATACATAATTAAGAGCTGTTCATAGGAGCTATGAGTTTTAAAATGCTCAAAGTAGCTATCTAACATATATTTAATGTAGAAAGAGATAACGGTGAAGAAGGGTAGGAGGACTGTGTAGGTAGTGACGTGCACATGAGAAATGTGTGCTCAGCCAGCGGGGCTGCCTTGAGTGTGATCTCCAGGGACAAGATACAGGTGCACAGCAGCGTGGAGCCAAACGGATCTGCACGATTAGCTAGGAGGAACATCTTATTTCCCTGGAGCCACCAAAAGCTGGGACATAACCCTGAAAGGCTGAAACGCCTGCCTTCACAGGAGTGTGTCAATCTCTAAACTCTTCTGAAAAATTCTCCTGGGAAATTGCTATTACTGTCTCTGGCAGTGTCTAAGGGGAGACTGCTGTAGCCCGGCAGGTCATGTAGCATGGGCTGTGTCTGTTCCTACTTTTACGTCTTCCCCGAGTTTTGAAATTTGTGGTGGGAAGGAGACAGGAGTGGAGGTGGGAAAGCGGAGGTGGTCTGGAGCAACTGAGTAAAAACTTACAAAGTGAGATGGGAAAGGCTGGCTCTGGTGAATGAGGTAAAAAGGGGAAAAAAAAGGGGCCACCGCCTTTGCCGTTTCCCACTTATTAGCTCCATTGTCCTAAAGAATAACTGGTATTTCCCCCTTTTAACCGAATAATCAAAACAGAGAATATAATACCTATTCTGCGGCAAGAGCAATAGGTGAGAATTTCCCCTAAAAAGAGTTGGCAAGTCTAAAAATACAGAAGCAGAATTTACCCGCCCTCTATTAATATCGATCCTCCCACACCCATCGGGGAAGCATATTTTTGCTCCATGCCCAGGTCTGCGGTGCAGCCGGCAGCGGTGCAGCTCCCCGTGCGGGGAGACCCCGGTGGGAGCAGCTGCCAGAACGGACTCTGCATGTGGGCAGCCTACGGCCTGCCCAGAAGCATTCGCTCCCACGTTACTTCTGGAAAGGTCAGCGTTTCTGCCTGACAGGAGACAAATTTGTATGTGCCGTGTCTTCCGCTGTCTTTCTCAGGTACGAGCTAAGCGAGAAGGTGCTCTCTGCTTGTCATCTGCTCAGAAGCAACGTCGATGACCCCAAGGCCTTGGCCAGCAAGGACGTGGTAAGCAGCGCGAAGCGGAGTTCTCTCTGAACTGCAAGGGAGAAATTTCAGGGAGGGATAGCTTCTTGTTTTATTGTTTAAATCGGGAGACTTTTTTCTGAAGGGCGTCCTTGTGCTTCTTGTGCTGGGGTGTTGCCGTCCCAAGGCACACACATACAAAAATAGTAATGTGAAAGTGCAGTTTCAACACGTCCGTGCGTTCCCCTGTTGTTTTTGTTAAGTGTTGTTTTAGCGCAGCTGAAGGTGGCACAGAGGCCTCACTTTAAGCAAATGCACGGGGTGAGGAGATGGTTTCTTTCAGCGACAAAAGCACAGAGTCTGTCCTGAAACTGAATGTGCTCTGCCTCTTTCTGAACACAGTAATAGATGCTGCTTCTGTCTCGCTCGCTGTGCTGATATCCTTAATGGAGTGCAAAAGAGACAAAGGAGGATTCATTGCTAGTATTAGCTTTCAAGAAACAGTGGTGTGTTTGCTGCCTATAGGAATCGCCCGTGTTATTTTGTGAGGGCATTCTGAAAGGAAATGAATACCAGTCGCTGTTTAGTGATACGAAATTGCAATTGTGATAGTGCTGCTGTGATGTAAAATGCAATAATCCAGTGCCAGGCTCCTCTAGCATGGAGCATCTACGGCTTTTTAAGGACGCTAATATTGCGTATGTCTAATTCTGACATTTCTGGGCCAGGGAATGTTTTGAAAGGTTGGTTAATACAAGTGTGAGAGGTAATTTCTAGTGATGTGTCAATCCTTCAGGGGTAATTTTGGCATTCAAACAACAAATGTTTCAGGCCCAGTGGGAGTAGAAAGTGTCAAAAAAGGCATAATAGGGTGATAATTTCTGCCTTGGAAGTGTAATTTGAACTTATATGTTACTTTCTTCAAGTGTTCACCAGCACAAATGGAGCTTTGTAGCTGGAAACTGCAGACTAATCAGCTCTTGTTCTCTATCTCGCTGCTTAGAAGGAACCCTTGACCAAAAAGGATAAACTTTAGTACAATTAGGGATCTGTGTAAATTGTCCTAGCCTTTTCCATTGTAGCTGTTGTTTTCATCAGGAGGAGCTGCAGACTGCTCCTATTGGGATGTCATGTTGCAGACTACTTGAATGACAAAAAGTGTATCCTTTACTTCTAATGCATGTGATACTGTGCCTGTAAAAATAATATCTTAGTGACATTTTGACACTCACTACTTTCTAAAATCAAAAAATATTTTTATTGTGTAACCGTAAGACCACTTCTGTGTTTCAATTCTGCACATTCACAGCATGGGTGGTCTCTGACACAAATGGATTGAACCCTATAGTTTTTTTTATTACAGGAGTACTGATGTAAATGTGTGTAAAATATTCTCCCCTTGCCAGACAGGGGTCTCATTGAGAGCTACGGGTAGAGATCCACAGATTTTCTCCAGAGCCTAGAAAAAAGTGATGAATATCTGCTCTGCAGAATCGCCCTTGAACTTATTGATCGTTTTGCAGGTGGGGGTTTCTGTGAAGAGGAGCAGGGCGCGATGGTCCTTCCAGCTTATAGTAATGGGCTCAGAAAGTCAGAGCTGCCAGAGATGGCTCACAGCTAGGTCCACTGAACCTACGTCGTTCCCAATGGAGCGTTGTCTGGCCGAAGAGGCTCCCAACTCTCCCCAGTCAATCCATACCAATGAGAAAGTTTATTCCTGGATGTCTAACCTGCTCCTCCTTGTTGCAGCTTAAATCCATCACTGTTGTAGCCATCCATCCCGGATGTGAGGAACAGGTTCTTTCTTCTCTTTGCAACAGCCTTTTACGTTGTGAAAAGTGACTGTGTTCCTTTGCCTCATTATTCTTTCAGTGAAGCATCTTTGGTCCTTCCTATCTTTCCTGTAGGACAGATTTCCTTGACTTCTAATCATTCTTGCTGCTCACCTTTGAATCAATTTGGACTGTTATCTTTCTTGTCATTCAGTGATCGGACCGGACAAGGTAGTCCAGCAGTCGCCAAGTCGCCAAGTGCTAGGCAGAGAGAAGGGACTGCATCACATGCCCTGCAAGCTATAAACCTATTTATTCACCACAATACAGTATTTGCCTTTTTCATCACAGTGTAGTGTTGTTGGCTCGGGTTCAGGTTGTGGTCCTCTGTAATGCCCAGCTCTTCACCTGCAGAACTGCTCTCCAGCTGGTCCTCCTATCTTTTGTTTGTGGATTTGATAATTCATGCCTCAGGATTGGGCCTAACTGACTTAACCGTGCACACTGTTTTACTTCCTGAGAAATGTGTGCTTCCATTGCTCTTAGTCGTAGGTGCATCACTGATTTATAAAGTGGGTTAAGTATTTTATGGAAATGGTTACTCCAAGCCTTAGTTCTGTTCACTCGTAATGTGATGCCCATTAATTCTGAGGTAGTCCCATCTTACAATTTAGTTCCATCAGAGATGTACTGTTCCTGAAAATGAAGTGAAACGGGAGGAGGTAAACAATTGGTGTTTTAAAAAGCGATTTAGTCAGAGGGGAAGCATCAGATCTTGTATTTTGTTTGTGAGTGGAATACTTTCTGCCCACATTTGACTAAAAAAGGCCTGGCCTCCTGCGTTGCTGACTTGTGGGATGGAAAATCCTTTAAATAGAATGTGCATATGTAAATTTTTTCTGTCTTGGTTTTGGCAGAGGTTTTGTTTAAATACCATCCAGCATGAGTGGTTTCGTGTCTCAAGTCAAAAGTCTGCTGTTCCTGAAATGGTTGGAGACTACATAACTGCTTTTGAAGAGATTTCTCCTGCTGTCCTCAGACATATAATCAATATGGCAGATGGAAATGGAAACACAGCTCTGCATTACAGCGTCTCACATTCTAACTTCGAAATCGTAAAGCTCCTTTTGGATGCAAGTAGGTTGGCTGTTTGCATTTGTTGTTTTTTTTTTTCAGTCCTCACAGGTGGAATTCTTGATGAGCAAGAGGATGAGTTTGGGCTTCTTCCAGCAGAAAATTATTTTGAGTGTTAACAGTTACATGGTGGCTCACTTGAATAGTCTGGAATCCCTGTTTCTAGTGCTGGCTTTAGAGGTGACAGTGATGGTTGTTGCAGTGGTTACAAAAAACCCCAAGTAAATTGCGAACCTGGTGGACCAGTGGTTATGACAGACAGGTGGACCCTTGATTCCTGGACTGTAGTCCAACTTCAGCAGCTCCTGCCTCTAGCAGTTTCCTCTGGAAGCAGTGCAGCTGCTGCTCAGCGACTTGTCTCCCTGCCACGGGCAGAGTGCTGGTGAGGAAAAATTCATTCAGATAGAAATACTTAACGTTAAATACTCAAACTAATCTAGCCTTAACTTGCTAGAGCAGTATAGCGGCTGTTTCTGGCCACCCCCTTGCAAGTCTGTACCGCCCTCTTGACGAACTGGAGCAATATGACGTTCTGCCGTAACGGAGCATTTCCCTGTTAGATGAACAAGGTGATGATACCTCATTTAGTTGCTTTTTGTTGCTGTTTCCTTCTTTCAGTCCCCTTGCAACACACGTGGAGAGAGCGCTGCGGCAGAGGGGAGACTGCACAGCATCTGCTCCCCATGTGCTGCTAAACTGGTCGGCAGTCAACAGAAGGTTGTCATTAAAAAAATAGGAGCTGGTCTCAGCAAGATGTAATCGTGTCTGAACACAGTTTTGCTCCCTGGCTTGGGTTTCTGTCTCTAAAGTAGTTATGAAACCTGTCGCTCCTCGGGAATTTGGTTGTGGAGCTGAACTAGGCCAACGGCATGGCTCGCGTGAAATGAGTGGCTTTGTGAGCCTCGCAAAGTTTATAAATCCCAAAGGGAGACATCAGATAAGCAAGGATCTTAGTGGTGCAAGTCTAAACTTCAGTAATCCGGCCCCTCTGTTGCGCGTGCAAAGCCTTCCCCAGCAGGAAGGCAAGCTAGTCTGAAACCCCTGGGCCTGTTTGGACGCAGCGGCTGGGAGCGGTGAGTCACGGTGGGGG